TAGCTTAATTTAGGTAGACCCAGTCTCAAAATAAATTAAAAAGGGCTGGGGATGCAGCTTAATGTAAAGGCCCTGGATTCAATCTCTAGAACCCTATGGGGAAAAAAAGCATTTTCAATGAAATAAGGCTTTAGACAAAAGTATAAAGATGTTCTATTAACTTTGAGAATTCCAAATGAAGAAAAGAACATTTCTAACAATCTTAGAAAAGAAAGGTCAAGAGCTGGGGAGATAGCTCCGTGGTGTAAGTGCCACTTACAAGCGCAAGGTCCCAAGTTCAATTACCAGTAACAAAAACTAAAAAAGAAAAGAAAGATCAGCTTAGTATGGCAGCCTGAGGCAGGAGGACTACCACAAATTCAAGACTATCCTGGTCTAAGCAGTGAGCTCAAAGCCAATTGGAATCACATAGCAGGACCTAGTCACTAAAAAAAAAAAAAAAAAAGATCATAACTTTCCATGAGAGCCCACACTGTTTCTCAGACTCAGTGCGCTTATTTTTGCTCTTTGTCTTTCAGTCCAAGCTTGCTCTGTGAGCCAGTCCCCTCCCCTTCACTTTTGCTTTCTCAAATAAACTGTCACAATAAGAAAAAAAGAAAGCACTGCACAGTTTTAAATGTAACACCTACTCCTACGAGCAATCTTATTTTATGCCTCAACGTCACATACTTACCTGGATTACAAATCAAATGAGCTCATTACATACAACATGAAAACAAGTTGTGCTGGACATAGTGGTACACACCTGTAACCCTGCAATTTGGGAGGCTGAGGCAGAAGGATTGATGAGAGGTCAACCTGGGCTACACAGTGAGTTCAAGGCTAGTTTGAACTACTTGGCAAGACCCTATCTCAAAGAACAGAAAAAGAAAAGTTGCCTAGCAAGACATGAAAGCACACAACTGTGATCCCAGCAATCTGTGAGGCTGAGGCAGAAAGATGGCAAAGTCAAAATTTAAAAACACAAAAATTGGAACCAGGGCTAGGGATATAGCTCAGAGGCGTAAGTGCCTGCCTGGCAAACACAAGGTCTCCCAAGTTCGGTTCCCAGTGGTCGGGGGAGGGGAGGATTGGAGCTAGGTGTGGTCGTGCACAACTGGCACTGGAGAGATGAGACAGAAGACTGCTGTGCGTTTGAGGACATCCTGGGCTATGTAGTGAGTGAGTTGAAGCTTAGCCTGAACTGCATAGCAAGACCCTGTCTCAAAAAGACACACACAGAAAAAACGAAATATTTAATCATAAAAACTTGTCAGCCTCAGGTTGCTGTAGTTCGATCCCCACAACACTCCAGCCAGCCAAACCTGCCCTGAAGGTATTTGGAGAAAAAAAGAAATCCTTAATCATAAAAACTTAAAAAAGGATATAGTAGCATAAGCAGTTTTTTTTGGGGGGTATACTAAACACTAAGCCTTCACAATGGTCCAAGGACCTTCCCAATGGTTCAAGGGCCTTCACAATGAGCTATATCTCCAGATCCTTTTTTTTTTTTTTCCCTGAGAGGGAGAGGGGCAGACTGACTCACTAAATCACTCAGGCAGGGCTGAAGCTTACAATCCTCCTTCCTCAGCAGAGCACTATGATAAATAGAATTACAAACAGCCTATCACCACACCCAGCAGCAGTTACACTGTAATTGTCAAAAATAACATGATAAATTTGGCCCCTTAACTTCAAAAAGATAAAATGAAACTAAGCCAGGAATAGTGGCACAAACTTGTAATTCCAGCACTCAGGAAGCTAAGGTTAAATTGTGATTCTGAGGTCAGCATAGGATCATAGCCAAGTCCATTCTAAACTTAAGTACTGAAACCCTATCTCAGTAACAAAAACAGGGGCTAGGGAGATAGTTCATCCACCTAAACACCTGCCTCACCAGCATAAGGTCCTGAGTTCGATCCTCAGTACCAAAAAAAAAAAAAAAAAAGGGAAGGGTAAGGCAGGACCCTGCAACTTTGGGCTACAATGTGAGTTCAAGGCCAGCCTGAACAGTAAAATCCTACTGTTAAAAGACCAAAAAAAGAACAAAGGACCTTCACTATTTACCGTGAATTCATGCAGAGTGTTCTTTATCATTTTTAGTAGTGCTGAAAATCAAACGCAAGCCTGAACCTAAGCTTTCACAATGAGCTACATCCCCAGCCTACTTCCCTCCAAGAAATCCCTAAATTGACTAGGCTGAGCTCAAGTACGATTTCCCTCTCTCAGCCTCCAAAGTACTAAAAGAGAGCTTTTTTTTTTTTTTTGGGGGGGGGGGCGGAATGGGGATAATCTTTTTGGTTTTTGGGTATTTGGGGGCTTTTTTGAAATGGTCTCACTTTGTAGTTCAGGCTATCCTTGAATTTACTACCTACCCCATGCTGGCCAGCACCATAATGCCAAATGTTGGGATCATCAGCATGCACCATCACACCCAGCTCCAAAAGAGATCCTAACAACTAACAAAAAAAAAAAAAAGACTAGGAACCAAAAGGCTAACAATTGAACACGAGTTCCTGAGTTCGATTCCAGTAACAGAAAAAAAAAATAATAATAATAATAATAAAATAAAAGTAACTAGGACTGAGGAGATAGCTCAGCAGCCAGCAGGATAAGTGCCTGCCTGGCAAGCGCAAGATACCAAGTCCAATCCCTGGTGCCACACGCACAAAAAATAAAAATAAAAATAAAGCAACCTTATAACACTTCAAATATTCAAGACAAGATTATACTATCTACATGCATTTCATAATTAAGGGTGTATAGACAATAACTAGTTTCCTTCCATCAAAACAAATATACACTGAAAATCCATTCCTATCCATTTTCTTCAACTTCTCCCCAAACAATAAAAGCCACTTGAACAGAGCCATCTCTTATGAGCCCTGTACAGGCTTCACTAGTTACCAGGAAGGGGAAGCAGAGGTGGTGGTGGTGTTCCTCTATAGTTCTAAAGGAAGTGCCATGTGACTGCTAGTCCAGCCCAAATTTAAAGAGGCCAGAGGAAACCAGAGCAACAGGAAATAGACAGGAAAAGCAATTACCACAATCTTTTCCCATGGCCTCATTCTCTTCCATGCCACCATCTCCTGCCACATTTCAATCAAAACAAAAATCTCTTAGAGCTGGGCATGGTAGTTTATGTCTGTAATCCCAGAACTCAGGAGACTGAGGTAGAAGGATGGCAAGTGCTAGCTACACAGGGGGCACAATGTCAACATGGACTACACACCAAGATTCTGACCTTAAAAAAACAAAATCTCTCCTCCAATATGCTTGCTTATTGAGTATCAGAAGTTGTGAGAAAGCAAATGGGGGAATCAGAATTGTGGAAATAAAAATAAAAATGGGGAAATAAGGATGACAACGGTAGAGGAAAACCTCTCATCACATATGTGAAATAGCCATAAGTTAGGAAAACAAGGCAAAGCACATTGGCATAAAGTGTGGCGTGAGAAACTAATTACCTTTGCCTAATAATAACAGAAGACTTCCTAGCAAATAGAAGGCCCTAGCCAAGAGTCCCCTCAGCATTTAAAAGATGTTGGATCATCTCTATGGATTAGAATTTATTCCCTTCCCTGAGACAATGTGGACTACACCAATGTGTCCACTCAATGCCTAAGCTACAAAACAGTTTAGTTGAGTTCAATCGCCGGTTCCACAAAAAAAAAAAAAAAAAAAAAAAGTTTAGGTACGGCTGTCACCTTTCTCCTAACTTTTACCAACACTAAAAAAAAAAAAAAGTACAAATCACAGGGAACAGTGCGAACACAGTAACTAGTGGCAAACCACTGGTGAAAGAAAACATCACAGAGTAAGAGAAAATTTAAGAACTAAGTTCACTAAAAAAATTGTATGCCCTTCAAATAAATGATGATCTTACAGAAACCTTAGAAAGCTCTGAATTGCGCCAGGCAGAGTGGCTAAGGCCTATAATCCCAGTTTTCTGGGATGCTGAGGCTGAAGAATCACAAATTCAAGCACACCCTAGGTAACTTAGCAAAAAACCCTGTCTCAAAATAAGAAGGTTGGCTGGGGATGTACTCAATGCAAAGGCACTGGGTTCAATCCCCAACAGTGCCGCTCCACTCTTTGAATTTTTAGTATATACAGGCGCTAATTCACGGCAGTAAACTTAAATACTGGCAGACTACATACTCTGAACATAAAGCAGAATCAACACCTGATAGAGATGGTAGTAAACTATAAGATCACAATAACATGAAATAACATGAATGACGATAGGCTCAACCTCAAGAGAGAACAAAGCTAAGAGTAGAGTGGTGACAGTTGAGATGCCTGGGCAACTAATTAGATTGAAAACTCTGACAGAAACACGGGAGAGCCAAGTGGGACCGAGACTCGAAGAAAATTCTTGCAATGAATCAATGAAAAAAAAAATAACATCTTCAGTAAATACCGCACAGTCCTTTATAGTCTAGGAGGCACTTTAAACCTACATTAAATAAAAACATGTGACACAACCAAAACACAAGTAGAAATCAGAGGAAAACTGAGATCTAACAGAATCCAGAATGAAAAGCACAGAACATGCCTCCAGATTACGCCGAAAAAGGATAGCGAGCAGAAGTTGGGTCAGTCCCAGGACTACTTCCAGGAGCAGGAAGCGGAAAGGGGGTCAGAAAGACAGCGACAGTGAGGCGGGTAGCTCCAGCAGACCCGCAGAGAACGAAGTAGGAGAAAAAACCACACCCTCCAGGACAGAAATCCGAAGGGGGGAGGGGAAGGCGCCTCCTGGGGATGGGTGGGTCCCAGACCATAGGAACCTGAGAAGGCTGGAAGAAGCACAAGACTACGTGAGAGGGGGGCAAGATGAGTGCCCGGGCCTGGTGACACTGAGGAAGTGTGAACCCAGCAAGGAAAGCTCGGCCGGGTCCTCACGGTTGGGCGCTGGACAAATCTGAGGGACTCGGAAGATCTAGCCCGGGTCTACAGCGTTCACATGACAGTATTCAGGGCCTCGCAACAAAGGAAGGAGGAGAGAAGGTGACAATTACCGCTGCTCCCCTCGCTGGACTCGGGAACTGCCACCACCGATACCACAGCTGCCGCCGCCGCCGCTCGTTACCTGCCAATGTGCCTCTTACAAAGCGGCGGCGGCAGCAGAGGCAGCCCTGTCCATCACGTGACCGCCACGTCACGACCCCAGGAGGTGCCACGAGGCGTTGGTTGGGCACGGCTCCTCGGCGCGCTGCCTATTCGTCACCACCCCACCCGCAACTGTACGAAACCAACACCGCCAAGGTAGTAGAGACAAGTGAAAGAACAAATAAAGTAAAATGTACGGAAGAAAAAGTTTACGGCATTTCTGGCGCCTGGAGATTACCCTCTGTGCGGGGTAGAGGCCGCACTTCCACCTTCTTGTCGCGCAGTGATGACCTCATGAAGAACTGCCAGTTTCTTCCTTTGTGGCACGCTTTTCATCACGTGATGTGGGCAAGCCAATCACGGCGAGCCCAGCCTCCAAAGGTTGCAGGCATGGACTACTTCTCCCAGCATGCTCCCCTGCCAGGGCGCCTAGCACGGCCGCTTTTGGCCCACGGGTTGGGTAGTAGATGTTCTGAGAGAAGGTTGCTGCGGCAAGCGGCCTGGGCTAACTTCTAGTACTGAATACCAGTGGGTGGCACCTGCCAAATGGCCCCGCGTGGTTCTCGCTGGGAAATGTAGTCCTGCTGGTGCGTGGGTTCAGCTTCGCGTAGCCAGCTTTGCTCCGCCCTGCGTCGTGCGCGGGAAAATGCCAACGGCTCTGGCTAACTCGAGATTCCTAGAAGGTCCATAAGACTGGGTTCCTCATCACTCCAACTGTGGTTAAATTTGGGTCGAGCTCTGTATTCCCAATTTCCTTCTACTTTGAAGAGACGAACATTTATTCACTGTCTACTCAATGTAAACTGACTACACAGTCAGGATAGATTGTGTGTACTTTAGCTAGTGTTGGCCCCGTTTTGACAATAAGGAAAGAGACTTTGAGAGTTATGTTCTGGCCTGAGACACTCAAATCAGGTTTTGTGTCTTGGCGAAATTGAATAGTCCAGCTCCCAGATATGACCTTTTACTGGAGACGTGTTTTAGAGCTTGAAAGTATTTTCTTATTGGTCTAATGGTCTAATTAGACCCAAAAGATGATACCATACTCAGCAGTAGAACGAGTATTTACTTGTTATACTGAGGTTGGTGCTAATTACTAACTTGCTAGTTCAAAAGATTTTTGTTGTTTTCACGTAGTCTCAATGTGTAGTCCAGGCTACCCTTAAACTCTCCATGTAGCCTAGACTGGCCTAGAACTCAAAGCAGGGGCTGGGGAGATAGCTTAGCGACCTAAGCGCCTGCCTGGCAAGCACAAGTCTTGAGTTCAATCACTGATGGGGGGAAGGACCTCAAAGCAATCTTCCTGCATCAGCCTCCCAAATGCTCAGATTACAGACAAACACTACCACCTTCAGTGTCCAAGACATTTGCTTTAAATTAATTAACCAAAATAATTGAAACGTTAAATAGTCCTAAACAGTTCATAGCCTTTTTTTAGTCATCAATTATTGCGCACTTGAGCTTGGTGGCACACTCCTGTAATCACATCACTTGGGAGGCTGAAGAAGGAGGATCAGCACAACTTGGAAGCCCACGCCTGGTTTCCAAAACCATATGTAGTACTGGGGATTAAACTCAGGTCCTTGTGTTTGCCAGGCAGGCATTTAGACCACTGAGCTATCTCCCCAGCCCCCTGTCTCAACATTTAAAAAGGGCCAGGAATGTAGCTCAGTAGTTCAATCCCCTTCATCATAAAAACAACAAAAAACAAAAAACCTGACAGACTTAAAGGAAAAAGCAGAAGAAAAGCTTCTGAAAGAATATACACAAGCGAGACATGGTGGTGCATACCTGGAACCAATAACTCTGGAGGCTGAAGCAGGAGGATCAGTGTGAGTTCAAAGCCAGTATGAGCCACACATCAAAGCCCTAACTACAAATATACCATGATAAAAGAGGGTATCTGGAGGGAGGAAGAAGTTTTGTGATACAGGAGCTATCCAAAAGGAAATATAGTCTTTTTTTTTTTCTTCCGGAACCAGGGTTTGAATTCAGACCCTTGCATTGGCCAGGCAAGCACTTATTCTACTGAGCCATCTCCCCAGCACCAGAAAATGTAGTCAATGTTTTAGTTTTAGGTTTGTTTGTTTGTTTGTTTGTTTTGCGGAACTGGGGATTGAACTCAGGCCCTTGTGTTTGCCAGGCAAGCACTTATTCTACTGAGCTTGTTTTTTGTTTAACAAAGAGAACGTACTGACATATGTAGGACTTTAATCAATAATTTTAAGAGCTAAGGATTTGGCTCAGTGACACAGCACTGGCCTACCATGTGTAAGAACTTGATTTAAACTCCAGTACTGCCATAGAGAAGGAAGGCAGGGAGAGAAGGAAAAGAAGAGAGAAAAAAAATTGAAACCAGTAATTGTGGTGTATTGTAAAGTCCTATTTGTTTTTTTTTTGTTTTGAGACAGTCTGCCCGTATAGTTCAGGCTGGCTTTGAACTCACTTTACAAAGTGAAAATTCACTTTGCAGTTATGTGGCACTAAGCCCAGCCATTACCACCACTTGTACACCTCTTAAATCTTCATGGGTGGACTAAAATGAGAATGTGATATCATGGAAAATACATATAAGGCAATAAAATAAGTAGATTAAATCACTTTTATATAAGGCATATCCTTGGAAACAATCAGTAATAAATGACTAACATTTTGGTAGATGTAATCAAATTTAATCTACTGGCTTACAATAAAATATTCGTAACTGAATGCATTGTGCCCTGCTTCAACAGTGTAACTAAATGTGAATTGTCTTTATTGAATCTTAAAATAAAAAACAACGTGAGCAAGGTGGTGCAGGTTTGTAATTCCAGCATTTAAGAGGCTAAAACAAGAGGATCTCTGCAAGTTCAGTGCCAGCCTGGGCTACATAGTGAGTTCGAGGCCAGTGTGCATTACAAAGAAAGATCCTCTCTGAACCAAAGGAAAAAAAAAGAAAGAAAGCAAAAATCGGGGCCGGGGAGATAGCTCAGTGGAATAAGCGCTTGCCTGGCAAGTGCAAGGACCTGAGTTCAATCCCCGGTTCCGCAAAAAAAGAAAAAAGAAAAAAAGAAAGAAAGAAAGCAAAAACCGGGTACAAAACTGGGCGTGGTGACACATCCCTGTAATCCCAGGGCTGGGAAGGCTGAAACAGGAGGATCACTACACGGTTCAAGCTGCATAGCAAGAACCTGTACCAAATAAATAAATGATTTTGTTTAAAAAAGACACAGTTGCGGGGGGCAGGGAGATAGCTCAGTAGAATAAGTGCTTGCCTGGCAAGCACAGGGTCCTGAGTTCAATCCCCAGTACCACCAAAAAAACCAAAAAAACAAAACTTTATGGGCCGGGGAGATGGCTCAGTGGAATAAGTGCTTCCCTGACAAGCACAAAGGCCTGCGTTCAATCCCTGGTTCTGCCAAGAAAAAAAAAGAAAAAAAAAGGCACAGTGATGCACGCTTGTAATCACAGCACTTTGGAGCCAGAGGAAGGCCAATGATGCCAAATTTGAGATTGAAATCAGCCTGGGCTACACAATTCAGTAAAGGCCAGCCTATACTTATTTTGTAATCCAGGCTGGCCTAAAACACAACAATCCTCCTGGCTCACCCTCCAGAGTGCTGGAATTACATGCATATACAACCATGCCTAGCAAGGCTTGTAGTACAGGGGAACAAACTTCCATCCTTCCGCTTGCCAAGCAGGCTCTTAGTCAGATGCGCTATCTCACCAGTCTCTTAATTTCTTATACGTTCCTTTTTTTCTTTCTTCTTCCAATTTTACATACATATATCTGGTAATATGAATAATTGGTTGGAAGACAACACAATGTATTACAACAAATACTGTGAAATTCATATTACTTTGTTAAGTGAAATTCTGTGTCACTTGTAATTTTTTTTTGTTTTAATTCTAATTTGTACTTTTTAAGAAAACCAAAATATTGGACTGGGGAGATAGCTTGGGGGGTCTACAGGCCTGCCTGCCAAGCGCAAGGACCCAGGTTTGATCCCTGGTACTGCAAGGTGTGCCAACCCCTAAAACCAAGTGTGGTGGCACATGCTTGTAATCCTAGTGCTGGGGAGGCTGAGACAGGAGGATCACTACAAATCAGAGCTGCATAGTGAGGCCCTGTATCAAATAAATAAGATTTTTAAAAAAGAAAACCAAAATTAAAAAAAAAAAAAAGGCCAGGAATATAGCTCAGAAGCACAGCATCTGCCTGGAAAGCACAATGTGCCAAGTTTGATTCCCAGTACAAAAGCAAAAACAAAGAAACAATAATATACAGTATGACAGTCAGTGAGGCTCAGCGGACTAAACGCCTGCTCTGGCAAGTGCAGGAATCAGGGTTCCATCCCTAGTCCTGCATGTTGCGTGGGCCATGCCCCCAGGGCTCGCTGAGCTGGCAAACGAGTCCTAGAAGAGTGTCCTTCGCCCGTAATCCCAGTGCTGGGAGGCTGAAAACTCATAGGAGGATCACTATGAGTCCAAGCTGAGTAGTGAGACCCTGTACCAAATACATTAAAAAATGAAAACAAATTAATTAAAAGTATACCGTATGGGCCAACCAGATAGCTCAGCAGACTAAAGCACCTGCTTAGACAGAAGGCAGGGGCAGAGGCTCTGTCCCCGGTGTGCTGCATCAGCCCTGTCCCTGGGGTGCGCCCAGACAGCAATTGAGACTGAGCGTGGCACACACCTGTAATCCCAGCGCTTGGGAGGCTGAAAACAGGAGAATCACTATGAGTCCAATCTATGTAGTGAAACCCTGTAGACTCTGTACTAAATACATTTTTTAAAAATAGGGGACTGGGGAGATGGCTCAGTAGAATAAGCGCTTCCCTGGCAAGTACAAGGGCCTGAGTTCAATCTCCTGTTCCGAAAAAAAAAAATTGAAAATATACAGTATGTAGGGAAAAGGTGGTCTGACCATGAGCAGCACAAGGGACACTTTGAGCCCCTTGACAGATATTTCTACCCTTAGCATGTGAAAGTGGCTGTTTCATGTTTATTAACCACAAAATCATCTAAGAGTCACTTACCTATGTTCCATGTTGCCAAGCAC